CCTGGGACCAAAAACCAAAAAAAAAAAAAAGAAGAAACCTCTCAATCTCCCCAGTTCGATCGGGACTCACATTGACCCCTGACCCTCAGTGTCCGAGGCCCCGCCCCCAAATCTGCGGGTTTGTGTCTGCGTGCAATCACTTAAAGCAGAACTGACAGCTAATCACCCTAGCACGCGCGCGCAGCGGGATTAGAGCTTCTAATCGCGAAGATCTCCTTCCCCCAGAAGACAGACCAGGAAGAAGAAAAGGCGAAAAAGAAGAAATCTGGAGGTCCAAGGTCGACTTCTTGGGCTGTTAATATATCCGGAAAATTGGAGTTTGCCAGCCGTGCTTAGATTAAAGGAGGAAAATGAAGCAGGCAATAACGAAACACAAAAAAATCCTCTAAATAAACAATGTATGAAGCAGGTCGTAGCAACGCTGATATTTCTTTCATTAACTTTGGACAATTTCGTTTCATTTTTTATCCGCTGTCTTCTGGTTTTGCTGAGCTTTTTTACACCGTAATTTTCTGAAGGTTATTTAGAGCTCTAAATAGTTTAAACTTCCGAATGAAGAAGACGTGATAAACGGAGAATATATTTTTTACCCAAAGACTACTCGAATAAGGTTTTGATTTTCTTTTTAAATGGTGCCATTTGACTCTTTCCTATATGGCCACAGGTAGCAGTATTAAATACTGTTTTGGGGTTATAAAAAGGGCTAAATAACAAAAATAAAATAACTATCAACAGGAAGTTTATTGTCCTTAACTTACGAATTAAGAAGACGTGTTAAATGGTGACTACATTTTGACCTAAAAATTTGTCCATAAAAGGTGGGTTTTTTCTAAGGTGTCCTGCCATTTTTTTTCAATCTGTAGGAGTAAATTATTTTTGGATTTCAAATGAAAAAAGAAAGAAAACAAAAACTTCAGATAGGACACGAAATACGTACTTTTTAAGTTAAAGCAGACTGTTGTTGACCGTCGGAAGTATCCTAGGGAAAATATTTTTAAGATAAATAAAAAATACAATGATACTCAACACAGAGCGATAAACTTCCAAATGATGGTCACGTTCGTCCACCAACATTGCTACATTCTCTGTGTTTATGCCTGTCCGATCAGAGGTCCTTATTCCTAAACAACATTACAGTATTTAAAGGGGCGTTAAACTTCCACAACTTTGAAATTTCGAAGCTGTTTTTTCAATATGCAGCTATTGGCTTAAAACAGTGCAATACAAAGGTGATCTGTCGGAACTTTATTATTATAACCTCTCTTTTTCCTACTTGCATAGTCACTGACTTCTCAACCTGTCCAAGCATAAGTTATATTGTTTGATAGGCTACAGTTATTCAGTATTTACATTTTTGTTTATGTGAGGCAGCGTGGTGGAATCAGGCTCTCGTCAAAATAATCAAAGTGAAGAAACTTGTTTTTTTCTGTTGGTTTGTGCAT